TGTAACATTTCCAGCTCGCTGATATTTCTAATTCTACTTTCTTGATGTCATAAAAAACTGTAACCTATTCTAATTAGCATGTGATGCCATGTTGTTGGCTTCACTTTGTTTCTTCAGTCAAAATAAGTATCTTATAGAAATTCATGCACACTGGCATGTTTTCTCAGCACAGACTTTATAGACAGCTATTGGTCCTAATCCCATGACTTACTAATCAGGTGATCCCAGCTATACAAAGAAGTTTTTGGACTTGTAAGTTGAGTAGTCATCCTAGGAAATATTTGCACATAAGGTAAAAATTAAATGAAACAAAAGATAGATGGGTCCATGAGATGGTACTTACTTCTCTGCATCATAACCTAACTTCCGTCCTTGTTTTTTTTTTTATCTTCTTCTTTTTCTTTTTCTTTTTTACCAATTCCTTTGGGAGGTCTTCTGACCTCCACATACAAGCTATGTGGCATACAGTCAAGAAAATACACACCCACACATGCACACAGATACACACAAACACATACGTAAGGAATAAACGGCTGAAATTTTAATAAAGATAGAGAAGTTCTGTGGCATACTTTTCTTTAAGCCAGTCAAATGACGTCTTTCCTGATACGCTCACAAATCTCTGAGATATTTCAAAATTTCTGTTTGACAAGTAAACTTGAACAAAAAATGATAAAAAATCAGTGGGTTGGTTTTATAGACTTAATGTTTTTGAAATAAACTAGCCATTCTTTCTACAGATTGTAACTTTTCTTCCTTTCTTTTTTTTCTTTCTTTCTTTCTAGTTAACACAACATACTCACTTCATTAAAATGAGATAGTAGAATTTTTTTTTAATCTTTCTCTAAATATCCAGTGATTTCAGTGATTCATTCAAACAGTTTTGTTTCCTTAGGAAGAAACTTTCCACACACACACAATAAACACTTGGTGTTCTCCAGCTTAAGCCTTGGGGAGTTACTGGTATTTGGCTCCTGACCTGGAAGTCTTTCTCCTGTCGTACAAAATCCTTTCCCCTGCACATTCCTGTTGAAGTTTGTTTCTGCTGTGCCTGATGGCGGTCTCTGAGGTGATCACCAGGGCTTGCCTTGCTTAAGCCAACTTTCCTTCACTCTTCTACCCTTTACCTTTGTGAGTTGGCCTTAACTTTGCCTGTTAACCCCTTCATTGTTTCACCATCCTGGAATTCTATTGCCTGGGGAAAATGGCTTTTACTGTGCAGTGGCAGGGAAATATACATGCATATTAGCAACTTAGTGTGTGTGTGTGTGTGTGTGTGTGTGTGTGTGTGTGTGTGTGTGTGTGT